GGATTTTTCGAGCGGTGTTGAAAGCTGATCCCAGTTTTGATGAAGCACCTTGGCCGTCTTTATCTACTGAAGCAAAGGACTTTGTTAAACGCTTATTGAACAAGGACCCTCGGAAACGAATGACAGCAGCGCAGGCTTTAAGTGAGTCTTCCCTATCTCTATTATGTATTAAGTTTCTGCCATCACTTTCCTGAGTCACTGACCATAATCTTTTGTTGGCAGGTCATCCTTGGATCAGGAATTATAATGATGTAAAAGTGCCTCTTGATATTTTAATATTTAGACTCATGAAGGTTTATATGCGATCATCATCACTTCGAAAGGCTGCTTTAAGGGTGTGTATATGTTTTCACTGATGAAAGAAAGAGAACTTTGTCTCGAATTTTGCCCATGCTGAATCAGATTCTTGGTCTTAAGAATTTTGTATATCAAGTCAAATGATTGGGTTAGTTTTCTTGTTGAATGGGATTCTTGTTTTTGCGTCCTAAAACATGTGAAAATTTGAGAATAATTATTAGTATCCATAATTATTATGATGATCAATAAACCCATCAAAGCCTGGTAAAAATAAGGGAAGTAGCGGGGTTTGCTAAGGTGTTATCATCAGTTACTCGATAATTGCTTCATCCAAATTATTCTTCTATGTGTGTGCATAGTTGTGTTTTTAATTTTTGGTTGTATGTTTTATATTGTTCATAACTTGAAATTTTGGTGTATGTATAATCAATCTCTTAAGAGTTCATTTTTTTTGTCAATTTTTGTGACAGGCCTTATCTAAGACATTGACTGTGGATGAGCTCTTTTATCTGAAGGAGCAGTTTGCACTATTGGAGCCAAACAAAAATGGCACTATAACTCTGGACAATATTAGAATGGTTGGTCTCTCTCTCTCTCTCTCTCTCTCTGAGATAAGTCAATGCTTATAGTATTCTTTTCATTTTGTCCTGGACAGGCCCTGATGAAAAATGCAACAGATGCAATGAAGGAGTCTCGCATTCCTGATCTCATTGCATCGGTAATAATGTGGATGCTAATTTTTTTCTTTGATGTTCCTTGACCTTTTCTATTGTGTTAGGTCTCATTGGCTGTAAAATTACTGACTGATTATTTCTTCCATGACAGCTAAATGCACTTCAATACAGAAGAATGGATTTTGAAGAGTTCTGTGCAGCTGCATTAAGTGTTCATCAGCTGGAGGCACTTGATCGTTGGGAACAACATGCACGATGTGCATATGAACTTTTCGAGAAGGATGGAAACAGGGCAATTGTCATTGAAGAACTCGCTTCAGTAAGTTGAAATTTTATTGTCTCATTTTGCAGGCTTGCTATAAATTAAATTAAAGAGTTTGATAATCATAGGTTGATTTCTGAGCATTCAACATGTTAGTTATTAATTGGAGTTGATTTACATCTCTAACCAATTTCTATGTTACTTGTTACCCTGGTAAAACAATCAGAATATTGGAACTAGTTACTGTGGAGAGAACTAATTATATTAAATAGTTTTGGATAAACCAAACTTTTGGTCCTTGTTTTTTCACTTGTTTTAACCAAGTCCTTTTATTTTTCAAATAAAATCCAATGCCATTCATTCCTCCATCACAATAATAATTAGTAGTCTTTTTCTCCAGAAAACTAATTATATTAAAGAGTTTTGGATAAACCAAACTTTTGGTCCTTGTTTTTTCACTTGTTTTAACCAAGTCCTTTTATTTTTCAAATAAAATCCAATGTCATTCATTCCTCCATCACAATAATAATTACTAGTTTGCTTCATATCCAGAGAGAAAGAGGAAACTACTGTAGTTAGTAATTTAGTTGACCTCACTGTAAGCAATTTTAATGCTCAAATTCGGAAAAATGGACTTATTATATTGTGTAGACTATAATACGGGTAGGTGGCAGGAACGCTGCATGGCATTTTCTCTATACTGACCTTTGACGTCATATCAGTAAACAGTGGTCCACATCAACACTTTCGATAACAAAATTGTGATTATGGTGCCTAACAGATCACATTGCTTCACTGAAAAATTGAAAGATCTAATTGAAACAATTGAAAAAGTAATGCTGGGAAGTCCTCGTGTTGCATCCCTTCTTTTTCCATTCAAAAAAGAAAAAGAAAAAAGTAAGGAGTGTATGTTGGTCTAGGGTTTTTAATTTGTACGCCAGTGCATCCTATGCATCTGGATTTTAGTAGGATCTGCCCGTTGTCAAACCATTTAGAAAAGATGATCTTGACATGTTGATTTGCCTTTTCTTTTACTTCTTATTTTTACCATTCTAGAAACAAAAGATTTATAAGGCTTAGTACATTTTGGACTGGAGCGAACTGAGACTACTGTTATTTACATTATCTTCAAAATGCGTTTCAGGAATTTGGACTTGGTCCCTCAATTCCGCTTCATGTGGTTCTCCATGACTGGATTAGGCACACTGATGGGAAGCTAAGCTTCCTTGGCTTTGTGAAGTTGTTGCATGGTGTGTCCAGCCGGACGTTTGTGAAAGCATAGTGAAGTTATGGAACATTATTTGGGTATGCGTTTTAACCAAACGAGATGTGCTATGTGTTGATAGACGACGTGCATCCAATGATTGATTTTCAAGATTTGGAGATCTGATAAGATGGCCAATTTACAATCTGCTTTGGCACATAGAATGAGCCTTCTGTGCCAATTTGGGGAGAGAAGCTTGAACTTCCCGGACACTGCAGGTGCAAGCCTGGTTACCAGTTTGAATGCTGTGTTGTTGATATTCAGAGTGTAAAGCTGTAGTTAGTTTGCCTAAATGGGTAATTACATATTCTTCAACTCCTTAGATGCATTGTACACGTTAAATTATCCTCGTCTCCTCCAACATCTGTCCAGTTACTGTGAAACATGCTTGAATGAATTGCCTCAGTATTGGAAAACTCCTCTGTGGCTTCAATTGAAAACCAAGCATACAAGCAGTGTGGTAACTAAAAAACAGTGTAAATAATCTCACATCCGGTAAGCATCTGGAAGTAAAAATTTTAGCTCTGGATGATGGAACAAGAAGAAGAACTACCTTCTCAGAGAATTAAAAGGAAAAATTAGAAAAAGAAAAGTTTGAGTTTTGAGTTTGGGATCTCCTCCTGCTGTTGCAAGCCTTGTGGCTGAGGATGCTTTTGAGTTTATCAGGCTTAGGGATGTCCAAAAGTATTTCTTGTTTTAATTTGGGTCTCCTGGGTACCGACACAATTGGATTTTAAATTACAAAAATTGTTAGTATTCAACTACAACATGAGTCAAACGATTACTGGTTAGTAAGTTCTACGGCGCTAACCATTCGTTTTGACCCTATGAAAAATGTAGTGGTGCTACACAGCAAAGATACCACCTATTTTTCAGAGTTTTGGTAATAATTAGTGTCTATATTAATTTAAATTTTTTAAGAATTGCAAACATGTGCTTAGCCAAGTTGGTTAGAGTGAATGTGCTCCTCACTTTATACCCAAATTTGAATTTCTCTCCCCATAGTTTAGATTATATTAAAATAGAACATCGCTTGTATCGAAAAAACAAAAAGACTAAGAATTACACATATAGTATAGTACAGTTGACTTTCATCCAGGATGAAGTTAAACAAAGTTCACTCTCATTGCACAAGCCTCATACCCAAAACTTTCCTGTCTGATGGGTAGTTTTATCGTCTCGCCATTAGTCAGGGTTAATATTCGGGTCCACCCTTTGTAATTTCCTGCAACTGCAACAATCTATTGCTTCCTTTGTAAAAATATGAGATTATGGGAGAATATGAGAATAAGAGAAGATAATTTTTCTAGTTTTCAACTTTATTACTTTGTATAACTTACAACAGGAATTTATACAAGAAAAGGCTTGCTAACGAAGCTCAATATTAACTACAAGTAGGTAGCTGGTGCCATTAATGTTTTAATTAGTATCCTTCAATCCCCATACAATCACACAGTCCTCAAGAATACTCTCCACAAGGCCTGGAACTGAAAGCTGCAGTCTCCACAAGTCAAGCTAATATTTCCTGCTTTCACACTTCCAACATTTATTGCTTTCACACACAAGCTAACATCCTTCCTAAGAGCAATTCCAACAGTCAAACCCTTGCCATGGCAAGGGGAGTGTGGGGGGCTAGGGCAGCTACTATTCACATGAATAGTGGCAGCCCTTGCAAAAAGCAATGTTGGTTTCCAGCAGTTGCCATGGCTGAGGGCAATCACTATTCTTTTTTTTTTTGTTTTTTTTCACAAATTTGTTTACCTAAATAATTAATTTGGATAAGATTTTTGGGTTCCAACGTGTCAATACTATTCATATCTCATAATCGGATAAAATTTTCGGTTTCAAATTTCAGATAATCAGTAGGTATTTATAGAAAAAAAATTCGGATTTTTTTTCATATTTTTATTGCAAAAATATTGGCTGTCGTTGGATTGGAGGAGAGAATCACGATTGGAGCGCCCAAACGACGCCACGTGTCCCAGAGCAGTTGGCGCAGCGCAGGGCTGACGTCAGTGTGTGCATTGCACACACCAACGGGAAAAAAAAATAAACTCTGTGCGTTGACATTAGCCTCCCTCTCGTTTTGGATCTCGGGCTCGACCTGCCCTTGGGCCAGCCCGTCTTCGTGGTCCCCACCTCCATCTCGGGCCTGTTGGAATCCATTTTTTGTCCAAAAATCCCCTAGCCCGAGTCTAGCCTGAGCTGCTGGACTTGCTCTAAGAAGAAAGGCAACCTCTCTGCAACTGCTTTCTAGTGCCGAACCATTCAACTCGTTTCCCTAGAAATCCTCCAATAGAAGCTTCTTTCAATGATTTGGAATAGTCATCAAGAGTTGATTTATTCACTCATTTCATTTGACTCGTTCCAGTCCTTGCGTAATTTCCTTTTTACGTGTTTCTCTCTGCTGAATATTATATATTAGCTAGCTAGCCTCATTTCTGAGGTGCATAGAGGCTTCATCCTTTTGAATACTCTTGTAGGGTTTGTAGTTTTTTTAAATATGGCCTCATCTTCTTCTTCTTCTTCTTCTTTTGCTAATCCACAAAAGTATGATGTGTTTATAAGTTTCAGAGGTGCAGATACCCGGCACACTTTTACCAGTCATCTTTATGCTGCTTTAGTTCGCAAGAAAATTGAGACCTACATGGATCACAAACTTGAGAGGGGGGACGAAATTGGACCTTCCCTCTTGCAAGCGATCAAGAAATCAAAGCTTTCGTTGATCGTTTTCTCTAAAAACTATGCTTTTTCCACCTGGTGCTTGGATGAACTTGTGCACATATTGGGATGCAAAAAAAGTTACGGACAAATTGTCATACCCATTTTTTACGACACAGATCCATCACAGGTACGGAAACAACACGGGAGTTATGGAGATGCATTTGCTGAACTTGAAGAACGTTTCAAAGACAACATGGACAAAGTGCTCATGTGGAGAAATGCCTCGAAGGAAGCAGCCAGTATGTCTGGCTTTGATAATTCAAACAGAACAGGGTAACTCTTGACCATTTCATTCATACAAGAATCGTTAAGGGGGAGTTACTAAATATTATTATTAATTCATATTTTTTGATTTAATTCATATCTGCTACTAAATATTATTCTTTGTTCTTCATGATCATATTTTTTCAGGACGGACGCTGATTTCATTGAGGAAGTTGTTGAAGATGTTCTGACCAAACTGAATCAATCATTGTCAAGTGATTTAGAGGACCTGGATCAATTTTATTCAAGAAATATTGAGGAAATTAAATCGTTATTATGCCTTGATTCACCAGATGTTTGCACTGTAGGCATTTGGGTAGGCCGTAGGGTAGGCAGTTTGGGCAAGAGTTGGTTGACCACCCTTAGTGATGGTTTAATTCGCCGGCTGTCTCGTCAATTTGAAGCTACTTGTTTTCTTGCAAATGTTAAGGAGAGGTCAAAAGGACATGGACTGAATGACTTGAGAAATCTACTTCTTTGTGAGATATTAAACGAAAAAGATCTAAGTATCGACACTGCATCTGTATCGCCGTTTATTCAAGAAAGGCTCAGCCGTACAAAGGCCCTCATTGTTCTTGATGATGTGAATGATTTAAGGGAGATAAAATATCTAGCATGTACTAGTCAGCTTAAGTTTGGCCCTGGAAGTAGAATCATTATAACAACTAGAGATAGGAGTCTACTTAAGAAAACTCTTCCTCATGATAAGATTTACAAGTTTGGTCATATGGAAGGATTGATGTCATGGGCATTGAATAGTGTTTCCGTTAGAGATAATGACTGCCTCATTAAACAAGGGTTACATGGGTGGGCAAGATGGGTCACTTGACCCTTGCAAGCCCGGATTTCACCATTGGAGGCGAAGATGTTGACCCCTGTAAATTGCCCATAAACTGCTTGATGAAATGCTCCAGAAGGCGTAGCACACCAGCACAGCAGGCAGATTACTCTGTCTTTTTACTTTTATTTATTTTTATATTACTCCATTTACTTAAGTTTACAATGTAAATAAGGAAGTACCCCTCATTTGGATTCAAATAAAAATACTAGAAAATCAAATTCCCACCAAATCAAAATATGAAAAATCAGTTTTAGTGCAAAATACGATTTAGGCTAAAAATGATGGCTCATTAAGTCAATATATACTTCATACTAAAATCCCATAAAATCAAGTTTTCTTATTTGATGTGTAAGGAATAAAAGCCGCCAAAAATTATCTTGAGAAAATGATTATTCTGAAAAACCATTTTTCATACATCGCCAATATTTTTACATAAAACAATTTTTCATGTATGATATGAATGCATGATGGACCTAAGATCAATCTAGATAAAAAAACCTTAGATGTTCAATCCACAAAGGGGTCGTTTGGTACGGCGGATTGTCATGGATTGGATTAAATCCTGGGACTGTCTTAGATTAACTCGGATTGGCCTAAGCTGGATTAAGTACTGACTTACTTTTGGTGCTGCATCGGACTAAGAAGCTGGATTGTAAAAATAGTGAAGACCTATGTTTGGTGCTTTGTCAGACTAAAAAATAATTATTTTAATAATTAATTTTAATTAGAAAATTTAACATAAAAATATATAAAAATATATATTAATAAATATATATAACTTAAAACGAAATTTTTAATAAAAAAAATTGAAAATTATAAATATAGTGTAGCATCAATTTCATTCAACTAGTTTATCTGATTTCCCCTTTTCAGGGTTCTCTTTCATCATAAATATTGTCAATTTGTTTTAACTGCTAGTACACAACGGAAACATAATAGAGAAAAAAATTGGCGAGCATTCTAATGCAACATTAATACAACAAATTTTGCATTCCACCAAATGATCAAACGAAACTATTTTTATAAAAAGCAAAAATGTATCAAATGGTGACCACGAGTTCGGAACTACATAAAAGGCAACTCTAACTAGTAAGTAGTTAAAACTAGAAAGGAACACTTATCAAGCCATGCTGCTCATGGTGATCATATTATACATGGCCAACAATTCTAAGCAGCAGTTTTTGACTTCTTTGGCACACGATAGCCACCAACAACACAAGCATGGTCGCGCTCGAAAGGTTCAAGAGTGACTTCTTTAGTGAAGTTTATCTTCTGGCTTGATGGCACTCCAATTGTACTAACATCAGACGGTGTAAAATTCTACAGCTTCTTCAGCTATATACCGCTCAGCAATGCAACCTTCGGGATGAGTACGGTTCTGAACATACCCCTTTAGCACTTTCATATATCTTTCGAACGGATACATCCATCTAAAATAAACTGGCCCACATAGACGAACTTCTCTGACAACATGTACTACTAGATGAACTATGATATCGAAGAATGAAGGTGGAAAGTATTTTTCAAGCAAACACAAAGTAACGACTATATCTTCTTCCAATTTATCTAGCTTGGAAACATTTACCGTTTTTGCACATATAGCATTGAAGAAGAAGCACAAACGAGTTATTGCATACCTTGCAGGCTTCTCCAAAACAGAACAAATTGCCACATGGAGCAATTGTTGCATTAAGGTATGACAATCATGTGATTTAAGGCCAAGAAGTCTTGCATCTTGTAAAGATACAAGATTTTTTTATATTTGAAGAATAACCTTCAGGGACCTTCATACCATAGAAAGAATTGCAAGCCGCTCTCTTCTCTGCTATTGACAAATTTCAAGGCCCTGGAGGCAAGCGAGTACGTCTTTCTCCATACTCGGGTTGCAAATCAGTCTTGACCCCCATGTTCAATAAATCTAAACGAGCCACAATCCCATCTTTATTTTTTCCAGGGATCTCCAACAACGTACCAATAATATTATCGCAAACATTCTTCTCAATGTGCATAACATCGAGGGCATGCCTCACAGGAAAGTATTTCCAATACTCGAGATCAAATAATTTTGACTTCTTCTTCCAACAAACTCTGTCACCATCATTTTCACCTCCCCCTCCCCCTTTTTTCGAGCCCCATGTATGATTAAAACATTCAACCATTTGCAGCACTGCTTCTTATTAAAAGCTGCACGCTGCCTCCGATATGGATGATATGTTAGTAACCATTTTCTATGGCCGATGTAACAGATTTTGGGGCCATTTTTCAACATGTGACTAGGTGTATCATCACCGCATATTGGACAAGTTTTATATCCTTTAACGACACAACCAGATAAGTCTCCATAGGCGGGAAAATCATTAATTGTCCACAGTAATGCAGCTCTGAGTGTAAAGTATTCTCCTATATGTGCATCATACACTCCTCTAATCTCATCCCACAAAGATTTTAAATCATCATTCAAAGGCTCCAAGTAAACGTCTATATTATTTCCGGGTTGTTTAGGACCAGAAATCAATAAGGTCAACATCATGAACTTTCGTTTCATGCATAGCCATGGTGGGAGATTATATGTAACTAAGATAACTGGCCAGCAACTGTATCTGCTACTTAGACAAATGTGAGTATTTTCTTCTTCCGTCATTTTTTTTCTAGTCGTCTTTTACCCTTTTTGTAGTAGTGCACATTCAGAGACAAAAAGCATACTTTAATAATCTAACAAGAGAGCATTAGTCTATAATCAATTTATGGGTAACCACTAATTTGTCTTTGGGCTTACAACCAGTCTGTGATGTGTAGTTTAACTGGCTTTGTGCATTGTTTGAAAGCTTAATTAATAAAGAGATATTCATGTACAAGAGTAGTGGAACACTTGCTGTAGGTGAAAGGTAATGTTCTGCAAAATAAGGAGATATTGTTTTCAAAAGAGTTGAATATGATTTCAGAAGGGGTTGAAATCAAAAGGACATGAGCTCAAATAAGCTTTAAGTTATTCATTGAAGAAGATGATGGAACTAATAGCAGTGGTTGTTTTCAGAAAGGGTTATGATCATGGGTCTTCAACTTTAATGTGCATCATTTTCATTAGTAGGGCAGTCTTTTGATTAATTTTATGGGGTAAGGCTGCGGAGAGGTCAGAACTGAGAACTGCAAAACAAGTCTAAAATCAACATCAATGAGGTTGATTATGGTTGTGACAACCCAATTCACTTTAATTCTACTTTATTTCAGAATTGCAAAAGTAAAAATTATAACCTAGAAATCTCTAATTAGTCTCCATCCTTGGTAGAAAGAAGGGTACGGTTTTTTTCCTTCTTTTCTTACATCAGTAGATATGGGCTTTGCCAAGTTGGTAAAAGTGGATGTGATCCCTATTCTGCACCCGAGTTCAAATTTCCCTTCATATATAGTTTAGATTATATTAAAATAGAATATCATTTATATAAGAAGGGTGCAGAAAGCATTTTCTTATTATTATTAAAAGTTTTTATATATGTAAGCTTCTCATACATACCTAAAATACTACCCAGCTATTTGGCAAAAATGGCTTCATGCACAAGATCTCCCAAACATGTAATTACAAATGCAAAAGGGTAATTAGAGTGGTTAATCCAGAACTGTTTTTATGTGCAGGTAGGTGACCTCTCCTTCATTTTTAAGTGGCATTGATTAGGCGCGAAAATGTTAGTTTATATTATAGGAGGTCAAATGTGTGTCCAAATGTCAAAAACATGTTGATGAGAAAGAGAGACTGTTTATTCCCTCACAACAATGTCATGTAGTGGGGAACCCACTCATTGAAGTTCCAAATGGGATAATGGGGGATGAAATTTCAAAGTCACTTGAACTTGGAATGAATAATTTTGAGGACCCTTTAAGAAACAACAAAGTTGGTGAAGGGTCAAAAAGGAAAATAAATAAAAAAAGAAAAAGAAAAAGAAAATTTAAGTGGGAATTTCCATGAGAGATTGGAAACCCACTTTGGCAATCCACGGCCTCTCTGTTGATCGAACTCAGTCACAACCATCGTTGTGAAGACTTCTTTTTTACTTTTTTTTTTGGATGGACTGTTCAGAGTGAAACAGAATATATCAAATCCTAGAAAGTGTTATTATTCTAACCATATCATTAATTGGTAAAAAAAGAAAAGAAAAAAAGAAAAAGAAAATTACATTACCATCAAGGCCTAAAATATATTTGATCATATGGATTGAATCATTGAATTTTCTTTGGTTTTGTAGGTTTGCAGTTAAAATGATCATTGTAGAAACAGAAGAAGAAAAGTCTATTGGATTTGATCATAATTGAAGGGGAATTGACTATAGGGAAAAAGCTATAAGATATGGCCCTTTGGGGCTGCTCTCTTGAGCATATTTCCGAGCAAGTAATGACTTGTCATTATGGACACTGCTTGTCTATTTCTCGTGATGTTTAACATTTTATGGCCGACTCTTTTGTGTCTAGTTGTACAAATATATATATGGGAGAACAAAAGAGAGAAACTTACATGTCATGAAGTGTACACTTTCTTGTCATAAGATAATATATATATATAAATAGATATACACCTCGTTGCATATAAGTTTTAGTGAAGGAGGGGATTTATAAGAAGTATACAAGCATCCTCCTATTATTGCATGCGTTTGTTCGGATGGGTCCATGTTGAGTTTGAGATAAATATTAAATTCCTTGTCCTTTTACTACCGTTTAATTAACATAGGATTACCAAAACAACAATAATTAGCACTGCTGGTGATAGTCATGAAAGATTATGTTTAGTCAATATCATAATTTACCGATCATTTTCATTGGATGACAATTTTTCAAAACAATACGAGACATGTATGGGTTAGGGTTAGCATTACTTGATACGAACTCATAAATAACAAGATTTATTTTAGTACGAACTCATACGATACGATCATCATCATTAGATAAAACCACTTTTCAAAAGAATATTGTTTTAAAAGAAAAAAAAGATTGAAAATGAT